CATTCAATATTATTACAATTATTTCAAGGGGAAATTATATTATCTCACATTCGATAAATGAAAAATAAATATTAAAACAAATCTAATATTACAGCAATTCCCAAAACGGTTTCAAACTGTTGGCAACACGGCACCAAAGTGTATCTGTCCTTTCTTCTGGTTCCAAATTCAAACGATCCAAGAAAACGTAACGTCGTGGACTATGTCCTCCGTATTTGAAACTCACCGTGACCCGTTCATTGAGGCCATTTTTTATAATGACTGTGTGAAGCACTTTGGACAAATGTATTCATAAATGTTGTAATCAGCGTCAGAAGAGGTTTGCAATGGTTTTAGGAGACCGTTATGGACAATAGCAGAGAGAGAGAGAGAGGCCGGTGGAGACACAAAACGTTCGCTTCATTGATCTGAACTGTTGCTCAGCAGCTGCTTTGCAATTCAATTTGGGAGGCAGCATTGAGGGCCGTCCACAGGGGCTCGATCGGCCCCTATACTCTCAACACACTCTCCTTCACTCTTAATGTTGAAGTTGATTGGCAGCTGCTTTCTCCATCCTTGTGTAACCCATGGCAACCAGACACCTTGATGAGGGCAGAGGGAAGGAGTAAAGGGAGTGGGACGCTGGGAGCTTTGATCATGGAAAGGAAGTCAAAAGGATTCTACCAATTTGGAGACAAAACAAGCCGTTTCTGTCTGACTCTGGTTTAAGTTTAAGTGTGTGTGTCTGTGTTTATGTTTTGGTTGTGTAGAGGTGTGACTCCCCAGTAGATGGTTGTCGTATAGTGATGATGTGTCTCGAGCCAAAAAGTGGTCCTGAACGCTCATGGCAATGGGTTTAATTATAGATAGCTGCATGTCTCATGTTATTGATATAAAGCCTGTCTGGTGTAGCTAAGTTATGTGCCGTGTGAATTCATTCAGATTGTCATGAATATTTTGTAGGAGGTACAAAGTTTGAATTTGTGCAGGTAGGATTGAAACCACATAAACAATACAAACACGCATCCTGATGAAAAAGACCTCAGGTTAAATTGATCGGGGAACGGAGGGTAATGAATGTATTATAATTAATAATAGTCTGGCTGAAAAAGTCAATCTTCTACATCAATACAAAGCCCCATGAGACTGTAGTCACTGATGTGATTGTTTGCTGTATAGTAAGAGGCTGAAGAAGATCCTGAAAACACTTTTCTGCTTTTTTTGTCTTTTCATCATAACCTCTGTGCCATTAGGTAGTCCATTCAATAAATGCACAAAGTGGTTTGTCCATACACCCTGTAGTATAATGCCATTTGTAGATGACTTGTCTCAGCTACAGGTTCATTTGTAGAATGAGAATGGTGGCCAAGCCAAGCCAAATAAAGCCTTACGGGTGTTAGGAGGCACATGTTGCAATTGGCGGTCTTCCAAGTCTTCATGCTGTCTCGACTGATTTGAATGCACTTGTTTAGAGGGGAACAGATGAACCTGCCATGATCATATCCACTTGTGTCAATGTCAAATAAGCCCGAGTAATTTCCTTTTATACAGCAGGCCAACATAGTGTTTCCACACAAACAGGAGGAAATTGTTTATTTGTTTAAACATGTTTTCTGTGATGGATGCATCCCTATTTGGAGCACTAGTGAGTATTTTTGGCAGCAGGGCGTTGTATGTGGGATTGAATCAAAAATAAGAGTGCGTGTGTTCATGGTAAATAAGGAACAGGTCACCCAGTGCAAGATGTGGCTTACATGAATGTGTTGTTGATAGTTTTTAGAGCTCCTTGGCACAAAGAATGAATCTATATCAGGCTTTGATACACACACAACACTTGTTAGTAGATACATTCAAGTTATTTTACTTTAATATTGAACTAAATGTACTCCCATGTACACACAGTACAATGTACTGTACTACCAGGACTAAACTGGAATAATATCAGCAATATCAGATGCAGTTTGATCGATGGTGTGCTTCTAGCAGTATCAATAATCACATTAATCCCGGTTTGTTTTGAGCAGCAGAATCTGCACACCAATACATAATAAGCTACTTATTGATCGAATGCCAAATCTGATCTTTATAATCACTCAGAACTGCTTTATTGTTCTTGTGTACGATCCATGAGTGTGTCTGTGTGTGTGCCCATGCTTTAAGGCATAAAAACAACCAGTAGTACATGAACATGTGTACAGACTGTAAGTGAGCTGATGGGGAGAGAACTGCAGAGATAGCAGACTAAATAAATGTCCTGCACTTACACAATAATGAAAGGCAGGCGTGTGTGTCATAAAGATAAGCAGTATGGAGTGCTGTCTTTGTGTTGTATAGGTGTGTTGGAGAAAACACACACACACATGGCCATAGTGTGCAAGTCTATTTTAGGAATTCACCGGCCGCATAAAACATTTTTTGTCAATACAATGACCTTGAAATATGAGCCCCTGCTCTATATGTGGGTGGGTGTATGCCCCAAAGACAGTATCAAATATGGACATATATAACATTTCACCAGCGTAAAGTTGACATGAATAGGTGTATTAGCTATAAAGAACCAAAACATGTATTGTACTAGGCTGTAAACATGATTCTAGATGCTATACGATTGGGCATTTTAACCTATGGGGTCTATAGGGATTGACTTCTTTTCGGAGCCAGTCTCAAGTTTCCATTTGGGGATCTGTCGTTTTTGGCACATTGAAATGTGGCAGATATTGTCCGGCACAGATTATATATAGAGATGTCCCGATCCGATCACGTGATCGGGGATCGGAGCCGATCACGTGATTTTCAAAAGATCGGAATCGGGAGAAAAAAATCGGGGATCGGGATTTTTTTTTTTTTTTTTTTTTTTTTTTTTTTTTATAAAATATTTTTATTTTATTTAATGTTACAAAACAAAAATGACCATGTTCACGTCTTAAAGTCATCCTGAGGCCTTAGTTTTGGTTTAAAATGACACAACATCATGTATGTGTTGCTTCTTTTGGGCTTGTTTTCATCGACCTGGTTGCTTATTTCTCTCAAATCTGGCAACAGAGTGGGCGCAGTGTCTAATAGTAGCAGTAAGCTAACGAGAGGCTACGTTCAGCTGGTGTAACGAGAGGCTACGTTCAGCTGGTGCCTCGGGAGTCGGGACAGAGAAAATGTCAGGAGTTTGGAAGTATTATAAAATTGAAAGCAAAGGCAGTGTAACAGCCAGATGCAATGTTTGCAAGGCGGAGGTTCCGCGTGGTGGAAAGAACAGAGCTACGTTCAACACGACCAATCTAATACGCCACCTGAGAAACAAACACCAACAACAACACGATGAGTACACAGCGGCCACTCAGGTAACGGCACTGAAACAACCGACACTTTCAGAGACTTTTAAAAGGAAAGAGAAACTGCCCCAGAACAGTGAAAAGGCCAAAAACATAACAGCCAAGATAGCTGAATTCATCGCGTTGGATGACCAGCCGTTATCTGTGGTGGAGAACGTGGGGTTTAAGGGACAACTTGAATGCTTTTCTCCTTTTTTTTCTCTTAATGCATTGCATAAAGATCGGATCGGGAAAAATCGGTATCGGCAGATTGTCAAAATCAAATGATCGGAATCGGATCGGGAGCAAAAAAAGGTGATCGGGACATCCCTAATTATATACAATGCAAACATTGCTTGGATTGGAATTCAATGTCCTTTTTTCAAAGCTGTCGTATAAACACTTTGGATAAAGCTGACTAACAAAAAGTGTAAAGGCCAGCGCGTTTCCTAGGCAACTCTGTGCGAAGAGAGCTGATTGAGGCCTCTAATCTGCGGCCATCACAAGAGCAGAGATTCTCTCACAGGGATTATCCTGCTGTCTGCATGCTCACATACAACTTCCATCAACAGATAGATTAGTTCATCTGTATTCTGGTAAATCGAGACATCTACAGTAGACAATGTAAGCCTGTTTTTACTTAATATGGTTGAAAGGTTCGTACGGTTGCTTCAGGCATTAATAATGACCGCCTCAGAACGGTTTAATAATTTGTTTGGTCTCTGGAGGAGCTTTGTCAAGTATGAGAAAATAATCCTGTGGATGTCACAATGATGTAATCAGGGTTATCTCCGCATTATGACCCTGAACATAATATACTGTGTAGCTGCATTATTGGAAAAGTTGGATTCATTGTTAAAGGGGCTATATTTAGCACATTTCCTGGGAAAAAAGGGCCTCTTTAAATATTAAATATATTCTAATGTTTATTTTCTGTGGCTAGAAAATTCAATGAAATGTAAATATTTTGGCCTGTATCATTTTCAATGCATTTCCCCCATATTTTGTATTTTTGAAAATCTATATAATTTAAAATCTTTGTAAATGAACAATATTTGACTGCATAGCATTGGTTTATAATGGGTTAGATCATTTATTCCAAGTACATATGCCCAACCCTAACCCTAACCCTAACCCCATCCTCCTCTCATCCATACAGTAACATCTACATTACGTATATAACTGCTATTTTTGGTCTTTATTTTATTGGAAACAATTGGGAATTTGACTGCGATCTAAATATGACCCCAGTGGTTTGCTGCTACTAAAAATGTTTGTTGTCGCTTGGTTTAACTCCAGACCAGACGAAGAGTTTTCCTTCCACTAACGACAAGTTCAAACTTTCCCCATAGCTTCTTTACCTTTTCATTGCACCTCTGACATTTTTTATATCCTTAAAAATTGAATAGTTATAGAAAAAGGAAGAAAACCCTAGGCTGATGATAACCTACAATTTGTATCTAACATACTCTTATGTCAGCATTTTGTAACATATGCTTTTGCCTTTTTAGATTGCTAATACTTCCTCTTAAGTCCATGTGTGTTGTGTCTTAAATGCCATCCCATGCGCTGTTGTGTTATCATTAATGTGTCATGTTCATGCTCTACTCATTGTCATGCATTTATTAATCTGCTTTTCTGTGTGCATTTGTTTTGACATTGCGCTCTTTTTTTTGTTTTTTGCTCCATGTTTTTCTGCACGTGGCTCGTCCATAGCTTTGTACCAATGGCTCGAAGCAGACCGCCAGGGCAGGGATCCAGACGCTGCAGCCACAGGTAACTCATCAACTGTTCCACATCTCCATAACAGAGCATTACACCTCACACTGTCTGCATGCCTGTGTGCTGTCGCTCACTCAGCTGCTCCCTCCTAAGATATGTGACCTATATGACGTCAGCCTTGTCCCAGCATAGATTACAATCTCTTCAGACACAGACTCTGTTTATCAGGTTCTGCACATTTCAAAGTTTTAACCTCTTTTTCTCTCAGATGACACTAAGTCCATTCTTGTCTGTGTCCATTCTCATTAAGCAGCCCCAACTTCTAAGGCATTGGTTACTAATGCTGTTTAGTAATATGCAACTCATTAAAGCTTCACACTTCTTGACCTCAGCTAGTGATTAGGATGTTGGTGTTTAATCGCATTTAAAAAAAATATATATATAAATCTATATCAACTTGAATGTATCCTCTCTGGTTACTGAGCTACTGCCGCCACCAATTACTGTTACTAGTAATACGTCGATTTCTAAATGTGAGTTCAAAAGTAAATAAAGACTTTCAAAGTGACAATGGCTAATACATAATGCCTTCTTACTGTAAGGTAAATATTCCAAATAAAAGGACTTAAATCCCCCTTTTTCAAAAACAGTGTTTGTTGTTAGGCCTGAAGGTAAACCAGATGTGTTTATACACACAAATTCATTTTCAGCAGGTTATAAAAGTGAAGACCGCAGGTTTGCTTTGTGTCCGACGTTCGAGAGTAGAAGGGGTGAGAGGTTGCTATGGTTACTTACTGTGCAGGGTATGAACAACCCAGACCAGAGGAAAATCAGCATAAATAAATATACGGACATGGTTAAATTATAAATGCCTACTTGAAGTGAATGTGTGAGCCATGGTCTACTGAGAGCACTGCGAGTGAGTCTCACTGTCCGTTAAGAGCTGAAAAACTGAGATGGAACGACAGGCTTGCTCTAAAACTGTTAAAGGTGTGGCATTATTGCTTGAAAAAATTACTTTAAAACAATTCAGCGATTGGTTAAGGCCCGTAGAGTCAGATTATCCCTGACCAATGAGGTTTTAGGACTCAGCCACTCGACATCCATCCAAGACGCTAACGTAGCTAACTAGTTTCTTGTAGCCGACCCAAAACAAATAGCAGGACATTGTGTGCACCATTACATATTTATAGTGTTTGGTATGTGGCTAATAACAAAAGCCTGGGGATTGAATTTTGTCGGTACTGGAACCATATAGCAATATAAGATTGGCCTCTCTATAAAAAGAAACACCAATAAACAACAAGAAGCTTTTGACATGGAGTCAAGGAGAACATATACTTGATCAAGTATTTTCACATAGTTTAAAAATCAAATACAGAAATGCTTGTGTTAATTTAACTATTTGCTCTACTAAGGATGATGGTGCCTAACATACAACCTTTTAAACCTGACTTTATTTATCTTTTTTAGCCGTCTTAAACCTTTAGAAGTGGATAAAGTGAAATCAAGGCTTTGATTTTGAGAGAAATTGAATAAATATCCTGTTTATTTCCCTTAAGAGAAATCACTGCATATTTGAGTAAGGCTGACATCAGCTCTATAGATTGTAGATCGTGGTGTATCACTCCACCACATCCACCTGGACTACACCCTTCAATTCATGTCATCCTCTTTCTCATTTCCTGTCTTCATTGCACAGTATTTGGGTCAACTTTTTCTGAGCTTGTTATCCAAATCAGTCCCTCCTGTCTGCTTCCCTCTCCTCATTTAAACCCTGAGGAAAGTAGTCGTCCAGTTTTTCTGCCTTCCTGTTATTATTTGTATATGCACTTGTTTGCATACTGGAGTTTGGGGATTCACTCAAAGTAGAGAATGGAGGGCTTTAAACAAAGAAAGCCTCTCAATCCTGTTCCTGTCACCTTCTGTTTGTCGTGGTTAAGACCTCCAGGGGCCTTAAGTAATACTAAGACCCCCTGGGACAAACTGCAAACTAGTCAAATACTGATTTGTTTTTTGTACATGCACGGAAAAATTCATATCCTATCAGGTGTTGTACAGTAAATGTCATCTCATTCTTCACGTACTGCAGGATGAGTATATAGGATGAGGGAATCAGTTCGTGGCAGACAGTCCACCCGAGACTCTGAAGCATTATTTGTTTTGTTTTGTTCTCGGAGCTTTCTTAAATGTCAACCGCCCTTTTCATTATTCATCTGGCATTGCTTCTCACCCTTTCACCCTCTCTCTCTCTTCCTTCCCCACACATGAAGGCCTCAAGGGTACACACAGAGAAGTTTAGTGAAAATACTTCAGGCCTAAGCAGGATTTATTCTTATTTTTCTCCCATGCATTTGTTCTTAATCGTGGCCGTGGGGAAATAACTTGCATGCTTTGTATTTTTCAAATATTTTATAGAAAGAACAATGAATAGATGAATACAGAAAATAAGTGGAATAATCCATGGTAAATATGAAACTTAAGTATATGAAGTTTAACTGACTGAATGGAAAGTGCTGAATTAATATAGACATCAGAGGAATATTAAGTCTTACTAGAATGTAATCATATGTACTTAAAAACACAACAAATAATGTATAAAAACGTAATCCGTTGTCCATTATAGGTCTGTTCAGGTGAGCTCAAGACACTATTTGAGAATTTACTGTAATTGTAGTGAGTCATTGTGTTAGCTGTATCCTCACACAAAACCCATATTGATCTGGTGATTGGTCACGCTGCAATGATCAATAAATAAATGCTCCAAACAATCTTTTAACCGCTCCCCCTTTATCGTCTCCAGCAACCTTCTGACCTCATTTTAATCTTTAAAAAAAAGCCCAAACAATCTACAGTCCATACACTGGAGCTTTGACTCGGAGCCCATTCACTTATCCAAAATCAATGTAGGTTTGTCTCCACCTTGTATCGGGACGGAGAGCTGGTCACTGAAAGGAAATGAAATGGTGCGTGGGTTATCGGTGAGATTTATTATCCCACAGAGAGTCATTACAGAGCTGCAGATCTGACCCCAGTATCGGAGCCCCATCAGCACTTCATCAGCAAAAAAGTTTCATTTTTTTACTCTGTTGCAGTTTCCCTGAGCGAGAGTCTTTATGATCTTTTTAATTGTCCCACTGGGGAGGAATACATTGTTGAATTGAATCGGAATTGCTTTGCCCTAGCTTATTAATGGTCGATAGTTGATGATCAGAGAGACTAGCGAAAAAGATCATTTCCGCCATGGATACCCAATGAATCATATTGAATGTGTTAATGTTATGCTGCATTCACATGATATGCGATTTGCTCACCGTGAGGTTGGGCACAGAGCTTTGCATTTAGCCAGAGATCAGTACTAGCTAAGTTTCTTTTCTATGGTTACGTCCCCTGTTAGCTTGCCCCACTTAGCATAGCTGTGATATAATTGGTTGCGTGTTTTAAAGGTCAGCGGTAACTAGCAGGGTTCTTACGGTCATTAAAAACCTGGAAAGTCATGGAAATTCAAAATGCAAATTCCAGGCCCTGGAAAAGTTATGGAAAACAATATTTTTCCCAAAGTTTTGGAAAAGTCATGGAAATGTAACTAAAGTTGCATAAAATATAATTCATATTTTAGCTAATCGCCGAAATAGTAATACTATAATGATAATAAATACTGTATCGTATAGTAATGAAACATAAAATGGCATTTAACTGATGAGGTATTTTGCTGGTGAGAGATTTGAGTTGCCTGTAGAAGCTAGTAAGCCTATTGGATTTGTTTTAGATAGGCACAACATGTTTCATATGCAGACCTTATTTTCCTGTTCCATGTTAAAATAAACCATTTTCAGTGATACCGCTGAGAAGGAGTAATTTCTTTGGTCATGGAAAATTAGGTAAAGGTCATGGAGAAGTCATGGAAAATCATTGGTGAAAAAGTGTATGAACCCTGAACTAGGTAAGAGTTGAAATACTTTGAAATACAGTTTAGAAGTTTCAGAGTAATTTGCAGCCTCAGTCAGTAGTTTATCATCTTAGCATATCTAAACGCGCAATGTATCACATGTTTCTTGGTCAATCATTTTGTTGTTGCGCTACAATTCCAAATCTGCATGAAGCTTACACAAAGGGGGATCAATAATAAATAAATAAAAACATGATATGCTCGTCACTTATGATAATTCTTTAAATTATTATAATGGGACACCTCCAGAAATGTCTATCTTCCCTAAAATAAGTACCAAATGAGAAAGGTGAGTGCTGTAAATTGAAAGGTAGAAATGATTCAAATGGAAATCCAATATAGAAGACTTGAAATTAACCTTTTTCCAGAACTAGTGATCTTCTTACTGCCACGATACAATAACATTGTATAAACCTCAATTCCCTCACCAGTTGTGCGTGTGTGCTTCCCCTTGTGTTTCCATTTTCCTTATAAAGCATTTTGCTGATGCTGCGGTTTAGGAGGACTTTAAAATATGCCCATCGGCACATTACGTTTCTATTCTCACTCTAAAGGACCAAAAGTGCGACTGTGGTGTATAAACTGAAAGCATTGGATGTGATAGAGCCATTCATACTATAATACATTTATGATGGATATGAGATAATGTAAGCAGTTCTGGTGAACAGCTGTTGTGTCCTGAACAGCTGTTTGGCTTTCTTGCATTAGACACAGTTTGTCTCTCTGTACTCGGGCAACTGTCTTTCTCTGTATACTATGCAGTGTATTTATATCTGGTAATTAAGACTAGGAAGCTCCGATATACACGATTAGGCAATACAGAACCAAATATGAACGTTGAGTATTTAACACATAGAAAAATGTAAAATACTATGATATGCTTTATTGTGAAAGTTAAGAAAAACATGAACGGAATTGGTGTGCCATGCTTTTGTCAAGGTGGAAAGGAACAATAAAGATTGCTGTCCTTATCAATATATATGTATTATATGTGCTTATAGATATAGGCGCAACATTAACACCCGTTACATTCCTGGTTTGATGTCTATAATTGCGATGGGAAAGCCCAGAAAAGTAGACATAGAAAAAATATTATGTTTATACG